GTGTTTTTTACAGTGAAGAAGCTTGTATAGATATCGGTGGGGTTCAATCAAATCAAGTGTGCTGACTTACAGTCAACTTATTTTGGTTTCACACCATGCAAGGAGAAGGAATATTAGTTGTCACATACTCATTTTTCCTCCTTATTACTGGAGTTTTATTTTGAGAAGTGATTGGATAAAATCAATATATCTTAATAATAGATAATACTGGGTAGGGTACTATCAATAAGTGTAAAGGAATGGTAAAAGTAGAGGGAATTAAAAGTGTGATGGAATGGTAAAGGTAGAGTTAACAAGTTGTCGTGTGTAAATTGGGAGACAAGCAACTTCACTGTAGTAATTGTCATTTTAAAATAGAATGTATCAGATTAACTGAAAAGGGAGGAAAGTTATATCCAATTTACTTTTCAATTTTGATATTTAATCCATTTATATTTCACCAACCAAAATGCAAGAAAGAATGAAGGTAAATTCGTTATTTGGAATGGTTCCGGTCATGCGCACTCAACAAGATAACCTAAACTACCTTCTTATCGCTTGCTTCCTCTTCTTCGGTCTTCTTTTTAACGGCACATGCTACTTTAGCCAAGTACATGATTACTTTTTTGGTGTTTTCAGTCTTACCAGCACCAGACTCGCCACTTTTATATGAAATGGAACAGCAGGTGTTATATAGCTATGCGTCAGTAATACAGATGAAGCAAAGCATGGCAATACATTCCTGCTGGTTATAAGTTTATAGATCATCTAGAACGGAATGGGGATACATTTATCAATCAAACGATTGCTTTCTGTATTCGGACATAAGGGCTACTTTTCCGTGAGTATATATTTATATAAACAAGCAGGAATGTAAGAGATGTAATGCTACAAAACTTACACTGTAGTAAGTTTTGCATTGCATATACACACATATATATACAGATAGATAGATACAATAAAACACGTTCGTACGTTGCTCAAACAACATGAACATTTGTCCATGTTTTCCAAACATACTGTGTCCGGGGCGAACGTGTGTTTTTGTATTGAGTTGTATATCTACATCTACAAGCATCCTTGGTTACAGCCATTCACCAAGACACTTACGCTTTTCAGTGTAGTGGGAGTTTCCTCTTTTTGTTTTTTAAGATTGGCTGCTACTATAGCAAAGTACTTTATCACCTTCTTGGTGCTTTCTGTTTTACCTGCACCAGACTCTCCCCTATGTAAATGGCAGGGAAAAACAAAACAAATATATGTGAACACTGACAGTGAAATGATGCTCTCAACTTGTGTATCCTAATTACTCTATCAATGTACCGGTATGGATCCTGGTCTTTATATCTATCATATAATATTAAACTCAAAATGTTTTAAAATAAACTAGAAAGTTTGAATTTTCATAGTCCGTTATTGAAAACTGGACGTTTTCCTGTTTACTTTCGGCTCCAGTCGCTTAGAGCTAATTTTATACATCAAACGTCCGTTTTGAAAGGTATATATAACTATACCTACTTACGTGGGTCGTATGGATGCTGAGGAGTGTGAAGACCAAGGGGAGGTCACTCCTAATAAACGCATGTTCTTTGCAACTTTTCTCTCTCAATTGAAACGGATTATTACACAAAAAAGTATATGACTTCCACTTAATTCACATTGTGATCAAAATCGTGTATCTGTATCCTTTCTTACATTTCCTTAGCGTCATTTCATGTTTAGCTTCGAAAAGCGATCCTACAACTTATTTCTTCAAAACCTTCACAAAAAAAGCAAAAATACTCACGTGATCAAACAGGACTGGTTTTCACGATCTGTAACGAATCGTCATTATGCATAAGTAACATGGTTTTCCTATTGTAACTACTGCAGGTTTTCAGCGAGTTTTGCTTTTCTTGTTAAAGACACGTTCTTGTCATATAATCTTACAAAGGATTGTTTTATTTTTTTATTTAAAGTATATATAATTATACAGTATAGTGATATAAAAACAACTTCGAGATTTCTTTTGTAAAGGTGTTATATACTGTCGAGTAATCTTGATTTGTGTGCTGTAAGTTACACATGTAAAATGCGCACCTGTTACCATGTTCTGGTAGGCATTGTCAGCTACAGAAAACAGATGGGGTGGGATTTCAGTCTTCCTCTTTCCTCTGTACTTAGCAATGACGCTGTCAGTGTAGATGGGCAGACGTCTGTAGGGGTTGACCGCGATACAGAAAAGTCCAGAGTATGTCTGTCAAACATCAATTAACATTTTTATAAACACAATCACCGAGTTACTAGAAGAGTGACCATTACACATCTTACTGTCTTCAATCTAACTGATAAAGATATATCATAGTTTTATTACATACTGTATAATATTGAATTCTACAATATCACAATGTTGTCCCCGAGCCTCTTTTGTGAGGTGACACATTACGATTGTCATTATGAGGTTGTTCAAAAAGTGATGTCATCGTAGAAACATCGGGAATTTAGTCAAAAACATGACCGACGGAATTTATGGATTGGATGCTATTGCACTAACATCAACAACAAAAAAATCTGTGTAATTTTCTGTATTATGTCATGCAATCATTTCATATCGCCATGTTGACTACTTATATATGTGCTGCCTATTGTTCATAACGTACTCGTGTATCAAAGTGTCAAAGTTCTGTACGGAGAAGAGATACTTATGTTGCATGTTACTGTAATACATTTGAAATAGATACATTAATATCGAACGCACGTTCTTGAACTATTTGTTTTTATAACACAGCAATGCAAAATCTGTAAACATCTCGAAATCCTGTGGTACGTATTGACGTAAGGCTGTGATAATTAATAAGTATGAATATCGCATGGTTGTTTTTAAATTGACCTGAAGATTAGACTTGATTTAAGAATGGCCGAGAGCGATGACTTCTAAGTCTGATTCGCTAATCCGACTTGAGGGCCGCCCACTACTACCAACAGTCACTATGATATCGGAAAAGTCGAACAATTATCTATCTCTTAAAAAACCATCAATCAACTAAGAACTAATTTCCACAAAAACGAGTGAACATTGTTACCGAAGCAAGGAATTTATTTTTATTGGAACCTTTGAAGTGGTGTCTTTAGTGGTTGAATATGGAAGTGAGTATAGCAAGCATCGAACTGCATTCCAAAAAGTCTCTCAAGATAAAAATCGGAGAGCAGGCCATGTTTTCTAGCAGGCATGCTAGCTGACAGAGAGCATTTCGCCTGGAACCTATCTTCTGTCTATACACAAGATGGGTATTAGATAGAGATTGTAAGTATGTGTACATACCGCTTAGGCATCGCTGACGTCAGCGAGTCATGTTACAGCGCCTGCATTTATTTTTAGACTCCACGGAATACCCATATTTGGCTAGCGATGGATGGGAAGTGGGGTTCACCACGGGGTGACGATAACAAGTACTGTACTAGGGATACTACAGATAGTGATAATGGTACATGGTGCTCTATAACAGGTATGTTGTAGTGCAGCACTTCTGAGATTGCAGCTCTGTATTAGATTACAATTATGGCTATTCACCAATATCTTTCCTATTCATGTTTGCTTTGTATGACCTTGAGAGCAAAACTGCTTGCTGTTACGAATTTCCGTTTTTGACCCTGCCAAGGTCACCTAGATACTCACTGACGTTATAATTGTTAAACGAACGTTTCGATAACTTCTAGCCTTGTTTCTTGTACTTGATCTTATTATCGTACAAATTTACTATTGTCTAAGAAAGTTCTTTTATACTAGTTTTAAGACAATATCTAAATCCGCATGATAGTCGATCGGTGTACCCTATCTGTGACGGGCTATTTGTCATGTAAAAAGCAGATGTGTAGAATTAGTAATATTGTACTCACGTAGATCAAACCACTGGTGTATCTGGATCTCAAGTTGTACAATACAGATGCTTCATTAAGATAGGTCATGTTGGCCATGTCTTCGAGCTTCTCGAACTTAGGTGGGTTCATGGACTGAATATCATCTTTCTTCACGGTCCTGGTCTGTTGACAACAAAAGTATTACAGTTATTAAAATGGGTTGTCAAAAGTTTTCTGTCATATTTCTATCAAATCAAGCAATGGTGCAATTGAAAAACTTCAGCAAATTCAGCAATACTGTTTTTAACGTAATATGTCTCGCTTCACTAGATTTTCTTTTATTGTATCCAGCTCAGTTTATGACACAGTTACAACAACTGTCATCATATTTATTAAATCGACGATAGTGGAAGAATGTGGAGATTCTGTATCTGTCATATCTTTACTTTATCTGTTATTTTTTACTTTCAGTACAGAATGCATTAATATGACATATACTTAAAAATAACCTCAGTTAAGTGGGTTTTTTTTTCAAACAGAATGTAATAGAAATGTAACCAGGACTAATTCAATAAAAATGGTTATGACGTCTTATGATCCTTGTACCAATATATCACTACTTTCCATGCTTTAAGTACAATGTATTTGAGACGGTATTTTCTATGTAGCGGTATCGTGTAATTGTTACAATGAACTTACTTTCTATCTAATGGTATAATGATAATCTATATCTTGTACTGGTAAATCAATAATGACTATTTATTGGTGATTTCGGCTAATGGTGATTACTATTTTCTAGTGCCTTTGTTGTTTCAGTTTAATGACATGACAGCTATAAAATAAGTATAGTACATACGGAGCTATCGGATGTGATCTTCACTGTGATTTCGTCGCCCTTTGAGGACTGGATTTCGGCGGCTGCGAATCCTTCCTTTTCATCAGGTACCCAGCAGTTCTTCTTGCCGTCGAAAGCGGCTGTCTGCTCCTTCATCAACTTCTTGCGATCTACCGCAAGATATTGGTAATCGGGGTCACTAAAGTCGATATTCATCTTGGATGGTTATATCGCAGGAGCAAGCTCTCTGCCTTAAATAAATAAACTAGACGAAAACGGAAGACGAAGTCTCTCTCTGGACTACCCTGCACAAGGTCAACAACAGAACAGATCAGCCCTTCGAACCCAGTCTGAAACAATCAAAATGGCATCGGTAAATCAATATGTATCTACATGTCACTGGGTACGTAATCTCAATGGCACCTTTTTTCAAGCGAAATTCCTAAAATGTTCCTCCTCTAGCAAGAACGTTTTTTTTTTTCTATACTGCGTTTCCGTTTAAAATATAATAGATTTTTTTTTCATATGAATTTATCAAGCTTACATTCTGACGGTCCGACAGCATGATCTATTCATACTTCAAGACATTATTTGACATGATGTTAACAATAAGCCGTAGAATAACTTCAGTTTTCACATCATGACGTTCGATCATATCAGTATACTATTTTGGTATCCAAATTGTATAGATAAATAAGAAATAAGAAGTACTTACTAAGAAATTTAAAAGTATACTACACAAACAAAAGAGGCATGCATAATGAAGTCTAAATAGGACATGCAGCTGAAGAAATACTATCCGAGTTGTACAGGGGAGCCCCGCCCCCTCCGGTTACAGACTAGCTGTTATGAGAGGCTCCATAGTATACCTGTGGTCAGCGTACACATGGTGTAAGGTGAGTAAATCAACAAGGGTTACGTCAAATGTTAAATTCCAAGTGAAATAAATCCAAAATAAATTCACAAAGAGCAAAGTTTCCTTTTAAGGAATCACATCCGAGTAAGTTCCGAGTGGGTAGTGTCCCAGACTGTACAGATAGCACACACAGTATTAAGAGAAATCGTTCACTGGATTAGCTCCAACAGATTATTAAAAGGTAGCTCACACTTTTCAGAACACAGGTATAAGCATGCAGATATATCCGTTGAAGACAGATGGTCGAGTATAAGATCCTCGGGTATGACAAAAGTTGGGTGAAGGGTAGAGTATAATCCGGCTAAATAATTCCAATCTGATTCGTCGGAAAATACATTGAAATACATGTGAAGGAAGTATAGAAAGGAAGTCAAACACACACTTGGAAAAATCTAAAGAAAACTACAAGGTATAGAACGACTTACTGTAATACACAGTAAATACTATAGGATATTAGCTAGTAGGTATTATAGTATAGAGGGTTAGGCACTGCAAGTCTTAGGCTAGGTCCACACATACTTACGGTTAAAAGCTGTCTGATGCTTCGATGAGGGCTACCTGCCGATTTATATAGTTTCTAGCTCTACATACTCTATGGGATGTATCAGATGTACCAGGCATTCTGATTGAACGAAAAAGTTGCTGATGTTGTTTTCAGCCAATCAGCATTATCGTTACATGAATGACAGATGAGAAGAAGAGGATGCTCCATAAGGAATCAGCGGTGAGATAGAGAGGCATCTGGTATAACATGAGATGCATACGGGTTACACAACGTAACATACTGTTCTAATTACTAGTGGGCTTCCCAGTGTGTGAAACAAGCGGGTGTTCGCGTTCTGGACAATCTTGCTGACGGTGTTGCATTTCATTCACGATATTGATACTTCGATTGATTGACTTTATGGAGTCATGCTATATTGCTGCTATATTTTTATATCGATAATAACACTAAATTGATGATCGAAATAAAACATTTTTTTAAACATTTTTAGTTGTCTTTACTCTGAGAAATAAACTACTCTTAGTAATAAAGACAGACAGTTATGCACACATGTATCCCATAGCGTCAAAATCACTTCACAGAAAACCTTTCAGTTTTGAAGTGTAATTGTTATATAGCTGCTACTTCAAAATGTCAGAGTCGCACAAACTCTGATCAACGCACATCTCACATCTTCATACTTAGGAGAGCGTATTTATTATTATTGTTATTATTCTCCCAGTTTAAGTAAGGATGGAATAAATAAGATTGGAGATACACTTATCCAACCAAAAACATTAGAAATGATCAATGGTTCACGGATCCTGTTATCTTAAACAACCAGTATTCTGTTGTGCGAATAGTTCGTTATAAGTTGTTTTACAATTATTTTTTTTCGTGTGTGTTGCGCGTGGTAGTAATTTTTAAATACTAATGATATGCAGATGTAGGGGATGAGGGGTCAATTTGTAAGCGTAAACAAGATTGATTGATAAAAAATCAACAAGATAACCTTTCCACTAAATTGGATGTCAGCGAACTCTGTAAACACCAGTTGGTCTGTAGTTGTTTTATTTCACTTTCGAAACACTATATGTCTGATTTCCTTTTACTATATCACGCAGCAGTAATTTGTCAATAACAGAAGGTCATCTTAGTCTTGAGAGTGTAAACTCAAATAAGAATTTTTTTTTTTACATCTGAATCGGAATATGAGTTTCAGTTTAAACGAGTTAATGATAATGATGATAAAACTGTGGTGTTGGTGTGATTTACTAGCAAACACATAAACCCGATTCGCCTCCCATGGTGTCGATATTATGGAGATAGAGAACGGTAGTTTTTCTGAGAGAACACACGTGTATTTTGGGTTGATGCCGGTGTCCCTGGCAACCGTACCATTGCCTGGTGCCGGTCTATATTCGGTATGATAGGGGGAGGATAACCAACAGCAGCTGGAGTACGCTCGTCTCCCTCGTCCTCTCTGTATCTCGCGCACTATATATACACTGACGCTAATATCAGTTCTGTCGGTTTGGTAGTAATAAAAGTATCCAGACGGTCCATACATAACGCTTATAAACATTTTGTTTCATAAGTAAATTGTCATATCTTCAATATCTGGTATGCGTGTCTTTGTTGTTAAATGGTGCATTGGCACGTCCAAGAATAAGTAGAAAGCAAGTGAGATGAAATGGTTCGATGAACCCAATTCCTGTGGCTAAATTTTACAGGACATCTCAGAACTTGTCAAGGATAATGTATCCTTTGGTAAAAGATTATTTGAAACTTTATCGATTTTGGAATGTTTTATAAAAGACGTGCTGTCTTGATATAAAGCGAATACGTCCTGGTCCTATAAACAGAAATAATATATTTTTTATAGTATTGAAGGTACTTGTTTACACATTCTACGCTATCAGACGACAACGGGGATCGACCACTAACCATCTGCGTGAAAAAAAAAACGGAGTGTCGCTTATCCGTAATTCGGCGACATTAGTGATGTGATGTGTTAGAGTGACAGTGTTCTAGTAATTAATTGTGTGTATACATGTCTTGTATGCTTTCAATTATCAACATTCATTAAAATGTCACCTCGAGAACTCTGTAAAACACCTAATAATACTGACTTTATACAGACCAGGGTAGTCGACATCCGCATTCTGCGTTGTAACACCACATTTACGTACTGTATCAGGTCCCTACGGTTTCTAGTTTATCTTTTCACAGCCGACACCTCTCACGAAAATCGTGCTATTTGAAATAAACCCTTGAGTGCGAATGGAACATAGATATTTTGTAATGTATCACAATGATTGTTTACTTGGTTTATCGCCTCGTGACTAAAAAGCCAGGGTCATTTTGAGGTGAGGACTCCATGTAGAAGCTGGTGTCTACCTCACTGAACAACATACAAAAGGCCTGTCGCATGCCTTCCAACGAAATCAACAATCGGGATAAAGTAATATCCAAAGAACGGCATCACAGACCGGTTAGTCTCTCAGCTTCCTGAGAAACATAAACCGATGTTCCGTAGGCTAACATCTATCTACTAAGCTACATCGTGGGCCCCTGTTTCCCCAAAAGTCATGATGGTTACAATAAAACTCGTCTGTTCAATCTTCTTAAACTTCATGTCTTCAAAGTTGAAACCCTGTGTGATTGACGAAATGTCTCTCAGCAGTACCAGCAGACTTACAGCTAGGTGAAAATCGTAAAAACGTGACACTGAAATCATAGTAATAGGTTAAGTTTAGGTCCTAGTGTAGCCTGACTAGATCCAAATTAATATGGTGTTGGAAGCAGCCTAAGAGGATTGATTTCATTTTAAATAAATTATGTTGACAAATTGGTATTTTCTTGTTATTTTCTTTAATACATTTTCTTTTATATCTAATCTAGACCTATATCGATTACTCAAAACATCTCAAGATGACAATAACATCACGATGCCAATTAAATTGTTTTGTATAATGCACACAACCACCCTTAGATCCAGGCCTGTCTATACTGACCCATTTCAAGTAAATCATTGTCACATGAAACATAACGTTACTAGCGTTCCGCAGTAGGTCTAATGTTATCTATATTTCAAAGACTAGGCTTCGTCTTAATTTAGATTCATTCATTCCCGCCAATTAAGTTTTGGAACTCTTCTTTTTTAGAGTTAACTTATTGAATGGATGAGAAGAAAATCTGAGATAACAGGCCGATCGAATTTCGGTACATATGTAATGTTAAAGACAGTGATAATTCTACAATTTATCAATTATTCAATTTTATCGCTAAAAACAATGCATCCCAAATGTAAGATTGTATGATCGACATCTATTATGTTAGCTATTGTAGTAGGCTGGTCATCGTAATCTTATTCAAACGCATCGTCCAGTCATTGAATCAAGTAAAGAATAGATACACCGGAAAAAGAGGAATAAAGTTATTCAATGGTTTATCTTTTTCAACTCTTCATGCTCATTTTATTACGGAAGAATTTGAAAATAATTTACCGCAATATGTTTTTACAATACAGAATTCTGATGCAACTATTAGCAAATGATAGGTGCTTCAGTAGAGGCTCGGAGTAGTCACTTGTTGAAAATAGTTATACTAATTACTTTATTCAGTTTTTCATGCTATCTGTTCTATATCTGTGTAAGACTTGTCTATGTTGTCTTGCAACGGTTTCAAACACTCAGAAAACCAATGTTGATGAATTTGAGCTGGGAGGTCTTAATGTGCCAAAACGGCTATATCATTTTGCAGCAGGATATTTCAAGAATATGTCATCACTGAAAACTCCTGTTTTTTTCACAGTGTTTAGAGAGTGGCTAATTTAAACTGTTTTTAATCTGCTTTTGTTTGTATTCAGTAACATGATGTCACTGTTATATGTGGAAGACCATGCTGATCACACACCATCATGGATATTTACTGTGTCAACTGAGTCGATGCCCACCTGTGTGGCTTGTCTGGTGTCTATTCTTGAAGACCCGACTAAGATACCAGTACAGAAGAAACCTGCTTTAGCCTCCCTTGCCAATCTGGTGCAGCAGTCATCAGAAGCTGTCACCTGTCTACAGGGCAACATCGCAATCACCTCTCATTGCCTGCTTACTCTAATAGGTAACACATGTCTGAAGCACATATAATCATGTACTTTCAATACTAATTATACAACAACAAAAGTCAACTGGAATAAATATTAGCAGCCATAAACCAAATACAACAATAGTTGACTGATGCTATTTCCTATTTAATATTATACCTTTTGGAGGTTTGAAGCTTATTAAATATTCTATGAGGAAAACTTTTGTGCAAACCATATGATAGCATTCTGTTCGGTTTCCCTTACACCTATATATTCAATAGAAAGATTTTATTCACTGGTGCATTTTTACATCAAAAACTAAACAGGTAATAAAAAAATCTAACCAAAGATACAGTTCCACAACTAAGAACCTATGGGTATCAGTTAATAAAAAATACAATGGCATTTTGATATTTACAAAGTTGTGAAATTAAAGGAAACAAATTTTGTAATCTGCCAATGAGTTTTGTTTTCCAGAGCTCCTTCAGTTAGATGATCCAGTGTTTGTAACTGAGGCACTGGATGGTAAGTAGTTCTGATAGTATTGATACATAATAAATTTTATCACCAAGCATTTCCTTTAAAATGCATCTTTTAACTTTTCATATGTGGTTAGTTAATGAAGAAAATACTTCATTGAATATTTACAGCAGTGCAATGATTAAAACTTTTAAATGATTACATTTTCATCATTCATTACTATATTTTAATGTTTGTTGTCCCATTACAACAGAACCTGATGGCCACTGTAATAATGAGATTATAATTACAACTATTACCAATGTATTTCGATGTCGCAGTGTTCATGTGGACCACTTCCTCTTCTGGCTTTTGCCATGACAGAATGTACTCCATCATATAAGATGATTTTCACTCAGTATTACCTGTTACCTTATTGATGCCACCCAAAATGTTGTTGGTAATGTAAATATATATAAAGAAGTATTTTCGTAATTGAACTATAGTTGATAATTGGTAGATGCAATTTGGCAAATCTTCAAGATTTTATGAGATTTGCCAGTAAGCCACATGCAAGTATATCTTTTAATCACACTAAGAAAATATGATATTGCTTTTATCATTATAAAAAGACCTCCCATGAATCTTCAGTTTTCATTGATTTGAAAAATGTTGATTTCACTGTTAAATTTCATTTGTCATTGTTAAAGGCTTCATATATTGGATATATAGATACATTTTTTTATTAGTTAAAGTGGTTGAATGTAGGAAGCCTTTCTCTTACATTATAGTTTGTGTGAAAGTCATTGGGAAGATAAAATCAAAAGAACTTGTCAGATTGGTGTTGGATCTCATTCAGACTGAGGTAAGATTTCAGATTTCTGTATCTGATTGTTTTATAAACAGCTGTAGTGAATATGTGTGTTTGATAGGTGAGAATTGTATGAAATGTGTATAATACAATTCATACATTGTACCTTTTGATACGTGTAGTATCCTTGTATATATGTACTATTTACCTGAATTGTTCTTCAGAGACTAAACACAAGTAAACCTAATATGTGTATTCATATATTCATATTGTCCATGTTAGGCTACTTCTTTACAGTTATGCAATTACGTGTGCATTAACATGAACAATTTTGATCATAAGAGTTATTGCTATTGTGGAGAGTTATTTCCTTTCTTTGAATCTCGGGTGTGGAGTTAAAAAGACTTTGATCTCATCTCTCAAGGAATTTTGTGAATACATATCTGGTAGAAGACAATTAAATCGTTCTATGCTCTTTCCAACTGCTAGAATTATTCTCACAATGAAATGCAACTCAAAGCAGTTATTGTTGAGATCATTGAATATCTCTGACCAGTAGTTTGATATTTGCAGCCATGCTTGATTGTGTACAGAGTAGTCCCAATAACATGTCTAGAATCACCTCAATTTCAAAAAATTTCCTAAATTTTGTGATAATTACTATTTTGTATAGGTAATAATTATTGTTTCAGACTTCATTTCAAATGGCAATCATCTAATATTTATATATACTAAACCAAATGTAGTTCAATCATTTTCAACCCAAACAGCATAAACCTCATCCCAATTTGACAAAAAGAAAACCTTTCTTTGATAGTTGATGTGCACCCAATGACAAATTTGTAACTAGGCATTAAATCTTCAGCCATCTATTATCATGGACAGGTGACCTCCAACAAGGACTGCAGAGCTCTCTACCCTCTATACCTGTTGCTAGGAAGACTAGTCCATACATTATCATCCTTAGCTGTATTAATGGGACAAGACTTTGGTGAGTTTTCTGTTGGAATGGTCATTAGTAATGATTAATAAACATGGCAGACAATTCTTCTTTTATGATTTGTTTATATAAAGTTAATATGTAATAATCAACACTTGTGGTATTGCTAATACTATCACAGACCCTTTGTTTTAAGATATCCTATCATCGTTATTCATCCTTTGTCATTTCTTGACTGTGAAATTGATCTTTAAACAGCATTACAAATAAAAAATAAACCAATTCAGTTTTGAATTAATTTGAGAAGTACAAAATAAAATGGTATAGCTGTCTAATTTTGGATATTCATACAAGAGTTAAAATAGAACCATTGAATCAGTATTGATGTACAAGTATTGTAGCATGTCCTACAGAATTTATGAAGGAAAACAAAAGTTTGAAAGAGTGGTAAACAGACTGAAAAACATGGCTCAAATTTGTTGAAACAGACTACTTCTTCAAAAAAACCAAACAACATTGGGTCATTCTATTTTACTTGAGGCATGGTAGCATGTACAGGTAAGTTGATGTGGGCGCAGAAGTGATATTTACAAGTTTATGTCTTGGAGATTATTGTACAAGGTTACATATAGCTGGAATCATAGTAGGAGGTGAAAACTATTTAATTCAAAAATTATACCATGATAAAATAAATATACCAGGTACTTATCATACAAAGTAAAATCTTTGGGAAATGTTGCATATGATTTCAATTTTTCTTCTGGTCATTATTGTGCATTTGATATGTTCAATTATATCACATTATACGGATTACATACATATTAGGGCATATGTGTTTTCAGTGTACAGTTCCTAAACAAAAAGAAGTGTGATTTTTTTTAAAACTGACCTTCACAAGATTGCTTTGGAGATTTTTAAAGTAACTAGTAACACAACTGACAACATATGATGACATGTATTTTAAGAAACTGTGTTTATCACAGGACTTTCTCTGATTTTACTCTCCTGTTCTAGCTTTTCCCAAGATATATGTGTTTTCTATTCTGGCAGATTTCTCTATACGGTTCTTTCAAATGTTATAAACACTTAGTTGTCTGTAGTGTAGATGCTTATTGCTCTTAGCTAAATGTGCATGTTTGTTGTTGGGGCATACTATATTTCACATTTCTCCTGTAAAATGTGCCTGTTCGCATGTCTATCTACTGGATCCAGTAGATGTTGATGTAAACTACAGCTGCCCTATGTAATTTACCTCTGACTCCTCAGGAAATCCAGTGTACAAATACCTAAGCCTGAATTATATCTCTGGAGGTAAATTGTTAACAAATGTAAATTTCTCACTTAGAGAACCAGCCAATTATTGACTTGTTGATCACATTCTCCTTCCCTTCATAATGCTTTTTAATGGAGATGTATGTGATCAGCTGATTCTTGACCATTGTGATATTTTTCGAGAGAGACGTGTTGGGAAGCATGTGGGGAGATCCTTTTTTTTCAGTTGATTATTTTTCCATAGTTATTGCCCTTGGTTTTACAATGACAAACCTGTCAAAGTTACAGTGTTGAACTTAACCTCTAGTTTATTTCAGTAAATTTGGCTTGCTCCAGAGTCAAATTCTGGACCAACACTAAAAATTTTGTAAAAATAACATATTTTCACTTACACATCGTGTTTCATTCTTAAACTGGGATGACTACAGTACATGAAGACATAATAAGAATTTCAAGCACAAACATGACGGAATATTCAAGTAATGTAGCCAACAGTCTCCAGTTTTTTTAAATACTTTCAATTTGGAGAGATCTAGTTTTCAAGTTTGACCCCTGGACAGCTATGTGATGTGTCAATTTTGTCCTGGTATATCGTTAATTTTTATGCAATACCTCCTGGGGTGGTGGTATGTCACATACTGAAACTGAATCTCAGGCTAGATTGATATTAATTGCTGCTGTTTGTTTTTGATGCCAGCATTGGACCTGAGATCGAGACTATAAATTGCTTGCAAAGACTTCCCGTTTTTTGGCATAACTATATTCAAATTCAAAATGCTTAAAAATATATACTTAAAGTCACTTAAACTAATGCTCTTGTTTACTAAAATCTGATGTTTACTAAAACAGGTGCTGGTGCCATGGACTGCATTTTATATGCATGACTAATAATGGAAGCCAACAGCATCTGTGCAGTATCTCTCTGGTGTTGTGGTATACAATCTTAATACCAGTGTTTACAAAACCTCTGCTTTTGGATTCTAAACTCCTTTCCAGCAACAAAAAATGTTTGAAATATCATTCAAGAGTTGTAGAAGTTTCAGTTTTGATCTGCAATCTTGTACTCCACCATTTTATTAGGGATGCCCAGTTGGGTTAGGGGCAATAATGTCCATTTTACTGTTAATACCATTCATAATGATCAGAGTCTTAATCCATACATCAGTTTTGAGAGTCATCATGAAATCACATACAACATTTTCTGCTGTATTAACACAATTTTTGTTCACTTTTACAAAAAAAACAAAAATACAATATTTTAAATTTTTCAAATACGTACATAATTTTACTGTAAGGTGATTTTTCGCTCCTGTTTGTAGTGTTTGGCAATGTTATGTATCATGAAATTGCTCAAAATAAATATAAGACAAATTTACATTTCCTAAAATAAAACTGACAAGCACAAATGTCTACTTTGTTCAAATTTTGTTGAATTGTTTAATTGGAAATCTTTGTTTTTGAAAAGTTGCCAAGTTTCAGTTTAAATAAAGAAATTTTGCTATGTATATTACTACAAAAGTGCAATGTCTCATAGAAAAGAAACTTAAGTGGATCCAGTCTGAAAGGTTTTTTCCACAGTCTAGTGAAATGAAGTTTTGGTATATAATGTATGTAGTGTGGTCAGATTGTATGGAAACATACAGTATGGTAAAAATTAGTTATACGGATATGTATGTAATATGATACAATTGTATGGACATGCATGTAGTAGGGTCAAATGAATTGCGTGGACATTTATGTAAAGTCATCAAGTTTTATAGACATCCTTGCAGTTTGGGTAAGTTTTTTCAAAGATCTTTGAAGTAATATTCAGTTTGGTAGATAGATTTTGTTAAGATAGAGTGGTGTAACACAACATGATATATGATGAGTATGTCATAATATGGACTACTCTTGGTTTTCACAATATTTCCATTTAGAATTTATCACATGAGTCTATCTTAACTACTATTTCTACTACATGATACCTAAGTCTGTAGCTAAGATTATATAACGGCTTAAGGTCAATGGAGATCAAAGTAAGGTGGGGTTTTGTTTTTTTTTTTAGGTAGCATCATAACTTCAAAGTTTGTTTACGTATTAGCAATTGATACATAATGTAAAAACAGGATATTTCATCACCATCTTTCATGTTATTGTTGTTTTACCATGTCATCATCATGATGTTGAGGCTGTGACATCAATGTAGAATCTGACCTCCCAACAACAGAACTAAAAAGCTCAAATGTTGTAAAGAATGACCATTATAAACTTTTAGTGAAGAAGAGAAGCAGACAAAATACCCCAGCACTTCCATCTACTGCTGAGTGGCCCTTACCAGGGAAAACAAAATCCCTGAGTATCTACCCACACAACAACAACAGTCTAGTCCCCAAAGTCTAGTCAGTTTATCGGCTAATCTGTTTCAGACATTGCTAATTTTAAAATGCACATTGACAACAATTTATAACGAAAGCTTCTTAAAAGAAACTTGGTTTTGGCACAAAGATTTAAATGTCAGCTGACACCACTTTCATTGGTATTTGTTCTTGAAAACATCTCACTCTATATTGTGCCAAGTCTAAGTGTTAAGATAACCCTACACAGTAGATCATATAAAGCATGTGCATGTATATTCAGTAAGAGCTGCTGTCTGCTGATAAGTTGCAGATGTAGAGATGAATGCCATAGACATAGAGTATGTAACCCTCCCTATCCTACCTGTTAGTGTGTAGGTGGCACCGTCTATAAATGTACATCACTGTGAAAAATATTATGTTGATCATATTAGATATTTGCAACATAATGAAACCATTGGTAAACATGAAAGATGTTTAAAATAGTTAAAGAAAAATTAAGAAAGATAAAGGGGTTGAAATCATTGTCACAATGGAATTTGGACTATAAGTCAAGTGCTCAGATACCACACTAGTTTAATTTGTTAAAAGTACTGATTTAAACTCAAGGTGATTGCTTTTCACTCTCCTGATAACAATTTTGAACAAATTTTATGCTATAGTTATTTATGGTACATATTTAGGATATTGGGAAGAAAACCAGCAATTTTACAGTTAGTATCGGAGAAGAAAACAAACCTTTAATTAAATCTTAAATTACATCTTCATATATGATATTGTTTTATTGTTATTGTAATATGTAAAATGTTATTTATCTCTGCTTGGAAATGATGAATTGTTCAATTAAATATACTTTTATCCATTTGCAAACATATAAATTAATAAAGTCAAAAAAGACAAATTTGTTTGTGTGCAAAATTATGGAATTTCATTGAAGATATTCATATCTAAACACCTCATTATTGATTAACTGAAATACTTCCATATAAATTCACTAGTCCATTAATTATGCACTTAATTAAGATTTATCATTGCTCTGCCCTTTCCACTTCGTTACATCATTGATATGGATCCCAATGAGAAGTGTTTATCCTATACCATCATCAAATGATCATGACATGCTGACCCCCAAGGGAGCTGAAGCAAGCCTCTCCATTATCAACCCCATCATCTGGCACACTTATCCCTGTTGGTGTGTTATTGGAGTCTATGCCTCTTACTGCCTCCCCAGGAACTCCTCAATATGTTAATTACCCCCTACTGTTACCGTGGGATAAGGGACCAGCCTTGGCACACTTATTGGACACCCCCAGTACTGTCAAGAGGATTAATTAACACTGTTAGAGATGTCACACACAACACTGGGGGGAGGGATCCCTTTAATTACAGATGATTTAATGATAGGTCTTTGTTTATAATAATATTCACAATATAGATACAAAT